AGAAGAAGAAGAAGAAGAAGAAGAAGAAGAAGAAGAAGAAGAAGAAGAAGCCATTTTTAATGAGTTTAAAAGGACATAAGACTTAAAAAACATCCAAGAAAGAGGAAAATAAGATGCAAAATCAATATATTGTTAGAAAGCAAAAGAAAAGAGAAATGCAACAAAGGGGGGGAGTGAAGGGGGGGTAAAAAGACCAGATGGGATAAGATAGGAAGGAAGAAGGGGGGGAAAGGCCAAAAAGGTATGAAATAAGGTGTGGAGAAGAAATCTTTTTTTATGGATAATGGGTAATGCATAACTTTGTTTCAAAATGTTTCTGCAAGGTACATGATAGTATTGTAGTATTTGTATGAGAATTAGAAAATTAGAATTGTATAAGGCTTAAGTAAAGATTAAAATATTAAAGGTTTAATAATGATAGATTTTAAGATTTAATAAAATATTAAAAGGAATGTCTAAAACATTTAGTTTAAGCATAGAGTTTAATTGACTATTGTGTGGATGTTCGTATGAACTTATTATTATGGTATTTGTTTTTGAAATAGATAATTGGAATGCTATGAGATTTAATGTTTAATTATATATTTAATTACTTTATGGATTTACTATTTTAGTAAGTAGAATGTACTAAGCAGAATTAGATAGGGAATTAGATGTTAATGTAGGGGAGCGATGGAAAGGCATCATACTTCGATTAGTGATTTCAGGAGAAATATTTTTTTTTTAAAATATGAATGAGATAAATGGATAATTGAAAAGAATGGACAAAAGATACAAATATAATGATTTAAATTAAGATGAAATAAATAAAATAGAATTAAGAAGAGTGGAAAGCGGGGAGAAGTTATAATAAAGATATAGAAGGGTAATAAGATAGGTAATGGCATATAAGCTGAACATGAATTTAATTGAAGTCCATACAAAGAGAGGTAATCCGGGGCCAAGCTACTTTTTAAAAAGAAGTTTTATGTTTTTGTGTTTTGTGTGTGTATGTCTGATTGAGATTTAATAAAACCTTGGGAGAAAGCGAGAGGAATATTTGTAAACAAGGCAGAGGGAAATATGAATATGATGAGTATAAAATGGATAAATATAGAAGAAATGTAATTGAATAAGAGTAGTTTCTTCCCCAAACCCCAAAAACTTTAACCTTAGACTGTCTACTATTGACCTCACCCCTTTCCTAAGAGGTCTGTAGGGGGCGTGCATAAGCGCACCAATGTGCCTACCGTCCCTGTCCTATTGTTTCTCTTATTCTTCTTTTATTTTTCTTATATGTACCCATTTCATGTATTCACAACTATGTATACACTTATACTTATTATCTTGTAAACAATTGGCAAATCAAATAAATAAATAAAAATAAAAATAAATAAATAATGAGAAATTTGCTAAAAAAATATTTAAGTGGAAATGGGATATATTAGAATTGTATTGTATAAAACAATGTTTTATTTGCCTTGTAAAATTTATAATGGAAAGAGGTTCAATGTCTTTAATGTTTAATGATGTTTTGTTTGTCTGTAAAATTAATAAAATTTGTTTAAAAAAAAAAAACAGACCTACAGCCTAACTACCAACCCAAGCTACTTATATTCAAATACATTTCAATTATATATGTACCATGGTGACCAGAGGTGATATTCAGCAGGTTCTGACCAGTTCTGAAAAACCGGTAGTGGAAATTTTGAGTAGTTCAGATAACTGGCAAATACCACCTCTGACTGGAGATATTACAGTATCCCTCCTCTGCCATGCCCACCAAGCCACACCCACAGAACTGGTAGTAAAAAAATTTGAATCCCATCACTGATGGTGACCCAGAAAACTATGTTTATGAAATAGGTGAAGATAACACAAAGGAAAATTTTGCATGGCTAATATGGTTGTATAACAGATTTAATGGTATTAATATGTATTTTTAATAGATTTTCATCTGAATTTTATATTTTATTCATTAAAGTGGTATATTATTTTTTAATTTTCATTCTAAAGCAGGGATTGAAAGCTACTGCAATGTCTGGCTAATATTGATTGTTCCTATCTGTATTCTAATTTAAGAAAGAGTCTGATATGCTACTGTACTTATAAGAAATTCTTTGTTAAATGCAGAGTAAATAAGATCTAACCAATTTGCTAGGATATCCGGTGCAATTTGTTTTATGTAAGTGCTCTCATCTTGCCTAAGCTAGTTACATTTATTTGTGTAGGACAGCGGTTCTCAATCTTTTCTTCACCCATGGACTCTCTTTAAATACCTTTTGTAGCCAAGGACCATGGCCACAGACCACCAAATTTAACTCAAGCTTTAAATCATGACAAGTGTTCAAACCTTTACAGACTCTCTGTGATGACATCAAGGCCCCAGGGATCTGTGCACCCAGGTTGAGAACCAGTTATATAATGATCAGAAATGTTCTATAACAACAAAGTTTGAATTTTGATCTCTGACTTAAAATAAAATATTATCAATTCATCCTACATAAATTTAATTTCTTCCATAATATATTCCTCATGGGATGTCAGATCCATGTATCTGCCATTCTTCAATGGAAGAAGAAGGGGGGGGAGGAGTTGGTATAAGTAATCCTTTTTGATGTAACCTGAATATATTAAATCTTATATTGAATCTGTATAACTTGCACATGATATACAAGTGGAGGACTGGAGCCAGATGGCTAGAAACTTGTCACCTCTTAGAGAGATAGCAAGAGGAGAAGGGACTATAAAAATTCCAGCTCTGGAAGACAATCCCTGAGAAACTCTTCTAAGATACGTTCCCAGAAAAGGGAAGGAGGGAATTATCATGTTGGTTCTTTGTTTGACAAAATTCTCATTTAAATAGGGGGCGGGGTTCTAACTCTCTTTATCTGTTACTGTATGCCTGGAAGCATCTTAGATTCTGCTTTGACTAGTATTAGAATCAATTCCTTTCAATAAAGAATTCCTTTTGAAGTGCCTAGCTTTCAGAAGTTCATTCTTTTTTTGGTTGAAGGGGAAAAAGTCCATTGCTTACATGGGAGAAAGTAATAGTAACTATTTTTATAGGCATAGATCTGACTGGATATATTTTCTATACTTTGCTTTTCCCCACTGAAAGTTAAAGACATGACTGATATTAAATATTCCACCACCATTAAGGCAAAAATGATGCCTGAATGTATATATATCCATTCTTCATAAACTGTAACATGTACACTTTTAAAATTTAGGTTTATAGTTTTATCTGAATTTCCTAAATGATTATTTTGGTAGAATTGTGTCTTTCTTGGGTTTATAGTTTTAATTATCATAAATTATTTTATTCATTAGGTTTTTGTATTTTTGAAATATATAACCATCTGTTATGACTGGTTATCCCTCACTTACTATTTTTTTAGTTGGTACATTTTATGGAAAAGAATCTTAATAATAAAAATAGAAATAATAATAGAAATATCAAAATATATTTATGATTTCAGGCAACATTACAAGATCTGGAACAAAGGCGCCCACAGCTTGAAGAATTAATAACAACAGCCCAGAATCTGAAAAATAAAACTAGCAATCAAGAGGCTCGAACAATCATCACTGATCAAAGTAATGCATTTTTTTAATTTAATATTTTAAAAGTATAAGAATCCTGATTTGTATCTAAGCATTTAAGTAAATGTTTTACTGTTTATGTTATAACAACTCTTTTGCCTTCCATTTAAACAAAACCTCTTATGGGGACTTCTGGTTTGTTCCTCATTGGAGTTGGAGTAGAATCTGTGATCGTGCGCGGTTTCGCCCGAGCTCACTTGCTGGAGTGTCCCGATCAAGACCAGAACCACCCTGGTGGGGTGGTGAAGAAGAGGGAAATCACCTGGAGGGTCAAGGGGAGTCGCAACTCTCCTCCCTGACAGGAAAATCCCTCCCAAAGGCAAGCTGCAGCAGTGGTCCTAAAATGGCCACCGTGGAGAAAAAGAACACTCCAGGAAACTAAGTTTTCTGCTGGAGCAGAGAAGTAGCAAGCAGAGTGTGAACCAGGCAAAGGACATCACTTTTGAGGTACCCTGGTATTAAAATAAAGGGCTATCTTGGAGGGAAGTGTGTGGAAGCAGTGACCAGAGAAAGTGAGAAAGAAATTGGATCTTATAAAACTTGGATTGGATTAATTTGGAGGAGAAAATTTAAAGGAAAATACTTTAACACAACAAAGGTTTAGAAATTAAACTGGATAACTATTGAATTATGGGCACTTAAAGGGCATAATTAAATGCTGAAATTGAGTGTGTTGAAAAGAAAAGAAATAATAGCTAATGATTGAAATTAGCAAACTAGATAAAAGTATTATATTTAATAAAGAAAGTTAAAGGTAAAAAGACTCAAGATCGCCACCTGATGGTACAGGAAAACTTCAGTACATTTTAAAAAGTGTCTGGTCTTCTCAAGAGTTTGGATTTTGGAACTAAAAGAAAATAAAAGAAACTTTATTGTTGTTATAGAAGCATCTGAACAAAGACTCAAGATTGTTGAAAATAAATTCAAAAGATATTGGCTGAAATAATATACTGGGATTGAATATATCTATTAAAGAAGAGGATTTTAACTATTAAGGAAGAGGAAAGAAAAGGGGGAAAAAGGAGAAGATATAATGGAGAAACTATGTGTTGATATAAGATTGGACTTACAAGAGTCGAGGTTGGATAAGGGACATGTTTAAAAATTAAACTTGAAATGTACAATTATGTACTACAGAAATTAGAAATGGTGACTCAGCATACACAAGAACAAAATAAACCTGAAGGGGAGGATTTCTATACGGAAGAAGCCTGAAGGTCAAAATGAACAAAAAAATTTAAGCAGGGGGGGGGAAAGGAATTAGAATTAAAAATTTGTGGTCTGATGGGATGATAAAAGGGAGGATAGTTCAGAAAATGGATAAAGGGAGAGGGAAAAAGCAGAAAAAGGAAGGGCAAAAGAAAAATCAAAAGAGGGAGAGAGAAAAGTTTAATAACTTGAATGAGAAATGGAGGGGAATAAGAATGGGAAAAAAGGGAATTAAGAGAAAGGAGCAGAAAACAAAGAGGAATAGGAAACTATCAAGGATGAAAAGGAAGTACATTGTCCAAAGAGTGAGAGATAATGGGTGGGGAAAAAAAGGATAAGGAAGGAGATTCCGCAAGGTAATATGTTGTGATGTATAAGACTATATTGAAAATAGTATTTTGTAGAAAAAAAGAAAATGATTAAAAAACTAACAATTCTACTATCGACAGTCTATGGTTCCTTGTTTGTTATCAATATTGGTGATACATTTACAAATACATCTTATTGCGAATATATAATTATGATTTACATAATTTTCTTTTTTTCTATTTCTTTTTTTCTTCTGTGTGTTGTGTTTGTTTGATATTTTGATTTTGTAATCAATAAAGTTTGTTTTAAATAAAAAAATTGAGAAAATAGTAATGTATAGATGATTTATAGAGAAAATATAATGCAGAATCTGAGAATATATATATATATATATATATATATATAAATTTGTGTTATATACTACATAGGGAGATTGATATTAAGGTAGAAAGTAGGTGGTCAGCTCGAAATATTAACCAGAGGGGACAATTATATTTACAGATAAGGATTGATAAAATGACAAATGTGACAGAAAAAAGTAATATGAGAAATGACAACAGAAATGAGATGAGAATTTTAGATAATATTGTAAAATAAGATATGAGAATGTATTAATATAATATAAATTGGAATTGGATAAGATAAGCTTAATATTTAACAATAATAAGGATGATGCAATATGAAACTAAACAAATATAAGGATAATATAATATAATAAACAAATATAATGAACTATGGTCATGTTTGTATTGAGATGTGAAACCTGGAACCACACTGCTTGTCAAATGAGATTTTTTTTTATTTTAAAAAATAAAATGAAAGCAGGGAGAAAATTGAATAATGGAATTACTAGGTATGTTCAACTGATATGGTGGTAGGCATTTGGAGAGTTTTGAAAGGTTGAAAATAAGCATTGAAGGATTATGAATTAATGTGAAATATATACACATTGAGAGATATGATTGATATTATTAATTTTGCCTATACTAAAATGTATGTGTCAGCCTTCAGGATCTTCTTTCTGGCTGTCATGAGTAATGGGGGGAGGAAGGGGGAAAAGTATGGGAAACGGGCTGGAGATGTTACTAACTAATATTGTATAAACTGAGGAGAGTTTCTATTTCTTGCTTGGCGTTCTCTTCTCTGCGCAACTGCAAACCTTTATCTGAGTAAGCCAAGGTCAACTAATCATCACCACCTGGAGATGTCCACATGATGAGGTTAAATGAAGATATATACCAGAGCTGCATTGCCAGAAGAGACCCCAATGATCTGCAGATGTGGTACGTGCTGGCAGCAGAGGTGGAAATTGATTTAACCTGAAACAGACGCCGGGGAGGCTCTGGTTGGAGCAAGCCCTCCCCCGCACGTCCTCAAGAAGCCTTCAAACCCCAAAAGGGAGGGATGGCGGCGAGACTCAAGTCTACTGTCTGCTTCCGATGTGGGAAGGAAGGTCACCGGGCTGCAGACTGCTGGGCCAAGTTGGAACCAAAGGGGGCGCCAAGAGGGAAAAAAAACCCAGACAAAACCCCAGCGAAGCCTTGCGAAACAGAGCTTAAGATGGGGGAGGTTGTAGAGGTCACCCATCCGAAGGGAGAGGGGCTAGGAACTCCAACCTCCTCTGAAGAGAGTGAAGTCGATTCGGAAGATGACTCATTGGACTAACGTCTTTTTTCTAGGAGGGTCGAATGTCAGCC